TGGAAATTTGTAAATTCAATTTTTAGGCCGTATAGTTAAACAACCAGGTTTTGACAAATTTATATTTCCATTTGACAATATAACTTTTCATATTTTTCACTATAATATTTTATTATATCCATGTTAGAAAACGTCAGCATAAAATGGTTTCGCCGATCATTCATAATTTTCCCGTTAGCATGGATCAATAACAATTATTAGGATCTTAAAATTGTTTACACGTTTTAAAGCATCCACTAACATCAATATGTTTTAATCGATTCAGGCAATATTTTATTAAAAATAATTAAAGTAGGTAGATTGTCAATAATAAGGAATATTTTTTACACGGTGTAAAATATGTTTCAAAATCAGAGACTTAGATTTTAATTTTCAAAAAAATGTTTTATTCAAAATCTAAAGTAACATGATGTGGAATACTGAGTAAATTGCTACAAGTAATACTCGAAAACAAAAGCTAACTACTGGCGTTGCAGCGTTCTTTTATGTAAAAATAGCGTTTAGATACTAAGCAGTTTCTGGATAAACAACACCTGCATAGGAAAGGATTTCCCATTATGCGTTTACATTTTAAGTTTAAATAAACAAATGATCTAATTAACATAACTAGGAGTTTGGCAATATAATTGGCACATATGTCACTAAATAATAAGACCAATACAAATTTAAATCTTACTTTTTTTTATACTTTTATGTCTTAAGTCTACTTAAATAATAAGGTTTCTGATACCAAAAAATTGCAAATTTTGTGCTCTACAAAAAAGGTGTCCTGCAAATTTTTCGAAAAACTTGTTGATTTTGAGAAATTTGCAAAAAATTTAAAAAATGTACTTTTGGGAGTGATTTAGAGAATGCGCCTCATATCCGATTTTTTTGGGTTTATAAGCCAGTTATATAAAACATCAAAAGAAACACAATGGGGTAAAAATTAGCTTGTAGCGAATTTGTTTGAGGTTCAGCTCAAAATAAGCCTAGTTTTACTAGCCGGGAATTTGAGGTTACTGCTGCCAATAATATTATGGTACTTACTTAAAAACTTTCCATAAGAACAAGAACCCTTGGAAATCACATCAAATATTTGGTTTTATTTTCTGGTTCGATATGTGATAAACTTATAATTTTTTTATATGGGACCAATGAAGTAGTAAGAAGGTTTGGAATAGCCCCTTGTTTATCTACTCAATATGTATATTTGCGGCCAAGATTAGAGTGAGAGAACGGGAGTGATTCGTGGTATTTTCTGCCCTGACTAGCGCTATATCACTCAAGATTAGAGTGAGAGATCCAATAGATTTTTTGCCCCTACTAGCGCAATCTCATTCTGGAATCATTTGAGTTACGCAAAGCCCGTTCCAAACCTTCTTACTACTTCATTGTATGGGACATCCTGTAAAATAATAGTTTATTGAATCAAATATTTTTTCCCATTTCAACGATATAGGTATTCCACTTTATACAGGGTAGTCCAACAAGCGCGCCTCGGTCAATAGTATAGCCAAACCGTTGAAATTATGGAAAAATGTTCTGTATAAAAGTTTTAGCATCTCATCTTTGCTATAACCTTAAATTATTTTCAAGTATACAGGGTGTCCTAAAAAAGAGTAATTACAAATTTTATGTTTTTTTTTTTTAATGGAATACTGTATGTTTCTATGTGACAAATGAGGCTTCTATATGCTCTCTAATCAACTTTAAAACCGTATTTGGGTTGAATGCAGCGTTGCCAAGTTATGATTTTTCGAAGAAAAAAATAGGCCAAAACATACTTTTTAAAAATTGTCATATCTCCGCCACTTTACACTAGTTTCCCTTAAAAATTTACATGTAGCCTAGTTGATCCTACATTATTTTCATTTTCCGATTTTAGTATACAGGGTGTCCAAAATATTTGTCTAAACACGTTAATTTTAAAGTCCATTTTAATTGAGTTTTTCAAATGCAACACCTTGTATATTATTTTTCTATAGAAAAGCTGAAAATGTCCTCTTTCAGAAAATACCATATTTGCTGTATCTATCTCATTAATATTTTGAGATATTAGGATTTTTCCCTTAACTTTGCACAAAAAACGGCAAAAAGTAAAGTAATTTGGTAGTGTTACCTGGAAAGTTTTTCGGGAGTTTTGAAAATTTTATAGATTTAGACGTGTTCTTTCCGAATTTCTACTTTGCCACCTCGTATTTTTGCCGCTCGCGCCGCCATATTGAAAAGTCTCGCCAAAAAACAGGTTTTCCACAGTTTCTCCTTTCCTTCTCATTAACATGAAAATAGTTATAAATATTGGTAAAGGCCTTTACCCATGACTTTCCTCGGCAAACCACCCCACCCTTTTTTGAATAAACATCATTTAAATGTTTTTTTTTTTTTCTCTAATTGACAAATAAAATAAAAATCCTAACTCATGCCCGTATGCACCGTTTCATCGTTAGGAAAGGCTTAGCAAAGTTATTCCTACAGTTGAGAAATAATTTTGAATGCACCGTCAACAAATTTTGGTTTCTTAGCTAAGAACTTGATAAAATTTGCAACATTGCAATTTGATTTTTTCTCAGTTTTTACAGTTCGAGTTTGACAGTTTTGGTTAGTTCGTTGGTTGAAAATTTAAAAATTATTCACTTTCCGCGTATTTTTTAATGTATGTATTTGTTATTTCGTGTTCATAGACCTATAAAATATTCTAGACCGCTCTTTGTTTTATGTTTCTCGAGGTGTTTTTTGATTGTTGTTTCAAATATGAATGATAGAAAACAGTCTGAATTCAATTTTTCACAAAACGAAAAAACAACTGTTCATTTCCATAATAAGCAAATTTGCTAATATAATTGAAAATGAGAAAACAATACTTGCAAGACGGTGGGTTTTCTCACCCTGAATCGCCGAAAAAAAGACAAACCATCCATTGACTGGAAATAATTTTCTCCGTTGAAAGTTAAAACTAAAAATTCTTGGAAACCCATAACCGAAAATATCCATATCAAAATCGTCTTCAACTAGCATGTCGAACTCCATTTTTTTGTATAGCAAAGGATGAAAAATCTTGTTCAATAGTTGTTATGTTACACGAGTCTCGTCAAACTCGTAAACAAACAACGTCAACAAACCTAACCGGTCCTAACCTAACCTCACAATCGCAATAAAGACAGATTTTTATTTCTTAAGTCGAGGATTTTGTGGTGGATTGCACAAAAAAAATTACTCCTCATTCTTAGTTCGTACTTAGCTAAGCATGATCTTAAAATTTAAGATTGCATTGATCGCTTTGACTTGCACCAGCTTTACGTAAAGGAAACTTAGCTAAGGTTAGTAACTAGCTGGCAACACCGTAGGATGTACGCATTTCGGTTTGAATACAGAATATACGTCATAGTTGTTATTCGTGTGAGAGATAAAGATGAAAAATGTTTTTGATTTCTTGAGAGAAACTAGAAACCAAACAATACAAATCAACAACGAATCCACACGTACAAACTACAAACATAACCAAGCTTTGTCTACCCAAATTAACCTTGAACCACGAATTCGCCGCACTTTCGCATTTGTATGTAGGTGATCTACCCCAGACCCAGGCAAACTTAAATCTGGACCATGGAGCCATAGAGTATTAAGTCACGTTTTCAAAATTTTACAGGAGAGCAATTTTAAAGTTGGAAGTACGTGCGCTAATTACTCATTTAACTATAGTAAATTGGTTAGATTGTTTTATATTTGCTTTCTAATGATATATAATGTAAATTTGAAAATGGAATAAGTTTATTTTGTGGAAATATAAATAAATTGTCTTTTTTTTCTTTATTTGGACTTAATATTGATTGGCCCTCGAAATGGACTTAATATATTACGACTTAATACCATATTTTGTGACTTAATTCTGTTTGGTCCTAGACAGATGAATTGTGAATTTTAATTTTTAGGAAAATCAAAGAGTTTTTTTTTACTTTCTCTTCTTCTTTTATTAGGAACTGGTTTTACAAAAATAACGTCAACACAGCAAAAAAAATCGAATACAGTTCATTTGTTATTGTTAACGATAGATATAATACTTTTATTTATTAAAAGAATAAGCAAAAAATAAGAGCCTTTATTCATCTTTAATGTTCTCATGAGGGATGTTTTTAAAAAAATCGTGAAATCTTGAAGGAACCCATCTCAATAATTTTTGCAAGTCCTTCCACTTTTTGGTAGAGATGGGCTTTAATTTATTTTTGATAGGTGGAAGTTGAAACTGGTCAAATTTTGTATTAGTTTTTGATGTACTGGCTTCAACCCGACGAGATACTCTTGTTTTTGCTGTCTTATTAAATTCAACCTCCTGAAAATTTTCTGCAACAAAACTTGATTTGAAATATAACACTCCAGGTTTATCAGATACAAACTTCATGTGAACTACTTTTGAAATCAAGAAATTTTCACCTGTTGTGGTCTTTTTGTTGTTTTGAAAGGAAGATTTTATATTGTCGTATAAATAATTGAAATTTTTAAAATCCACAGTTTGCATTTCCTCCACCATTAAGTTTGAGTTGCACAGTCGCATAAGCTGTTGCCAGTCCCATGGGGTAATTATAGAAAAATCAGGGGAGGCTTTCATTTATCTTTCTATTCTGGCATGTACGGAGTCCACCTCCATGTGGGTATGGCCTCTTAAAAGATATTTGTGTTCTACCGACTTCAATGATGGCTTTACCATCATTACATAAAAATAACTCATTAGCATTTGCAGATTTCTGTTTTGTGATGGGCAGTTATCACTCCAAATAATGATATTCTCGACAGACTCATCGAGAGTAAGAATGTATCTCAAAAGGCAAGACGCCATTTCATTGCCACCTCGGCCAGCTATTGACTCGTCCCAAACAAAACATGAAGAGGTTTTTTTTTGTCGTGTTGTACACAGTATAGTTAAAGGTCCAAAGTTTTAAGCTGTAAAAGCTTTGAGCATTTTTGAGAAGCGGCGTAGGTAGGCATTTTTGTAAATCAACAGTTAGAACGTTGCAGTTTCTTACATTTTTTGATGCTTCCTTATCTTGCTTCTTCAGTTGGTATCGATTGTCTGCATCTGACAGGTGTGCATCATATTCATTCTGAGTGTCAATACGCGTTTCATTAGGCAAATTTTCTTTTAGTTTTATAATAAATTCATCACAGGCATCACATGTATCATTGTTTGGTTCCTTGAAAGACAAATTAAATTCAGTGTTAAAAATGTCAGCATAAAGCCATTTTTTAGGTATTTCTTCCCGAGGAATTTGGTTTCTACATTCTTCAAAAAACAGCTCGTACATTTTGGAAATATTAAGGTGACTTCCTAAGTACTTTTTTTGAGTTTTGTTCCTTGAGTAATGCGATTCGATACAAGGAAATTTGCTGATATGTTCTTTTATCATATTTCTCTCGTTGACTCCAATTTTATTCGATGGTTCGTGCTTCCCTCTTTGGTCGACCGTTACGAGTCCGCCTGACTGTCGTTTTTTTAATGCAAATCTAACAGATGTTTGGGATAAATTAAGAGTATTTAAGAAGTAAGTACGACAAACATTAACCTTCTTATTATTTACCGTAAAAAAGTAGTTAAGAGTAGATTTTCTTTTTCCGATACGCGAGCCTGTTCTAACGCGAACACGTTCAACTGGAACCTCTTCTATGCAGCTTGCAATAAACTGCCTCTTTTGGTTGATGTCTAAGTCTTTATTGTAAAACTGAGTATGGATAGATAAACGCTCATCAGTTGTTATCTTTTGTGTGCACTTTTTTCGGCAACCATCCTGACAGGTTTCCTTCATTACCTTTTTTGGAATAATTTTATTCTTGCTGGACAAATACTCATGGCCAGCAGCTCTTTCCTTTTTCCTTATGTTTTTTTTCCATGCTTTATGGTTTCTTTTTCGCTTTCTACCTTTATTGTTTTGATTATTATCCATCTCTTCTTCATTATTTGTTTCGTTGTCCATCTCTTCTTCATTATTTGTTTCGTTGTCCATCTCTTCTTCATTTGTTTCGTTGTTGCTAAGGGTGTCACTTTCTTCGTTTGGTTCGTAAACGGGGTCGTCTAAGTCACTAGCGTTACTTAGCTCCTTTTCAGCTGATTGTATCTCTAAAGGATTTGTATGATCATTGCTTGATATGTCCTGATTTTTATTTCCATCGATTTCAGAATCTACAATGCTTTCCAGCAACAACTGCTCCTCTTCTGCAGTAGTTATTGCTAAAGCGTCTTCAAGAAGTTCTATGGAATCAGTTAGACAAGCTCCTTGTTCAGTCCCAGTGGCCAGAATTTTTATATTTTGATACATAACATCCGTTATGGATTCTACTGGATAGAGTTCCATGATTACCTCTGCTTCTGCATTTAGTTCAGGCGTGCTACCTGAAAACAAAAATAATAAATAAAAGTCTATCCTGAATGTGATAAAAATATTTTGATTCTTTTTTTGTTTTTGATTAACTTTTCTTACACTCACTATTTATTTGCCTGGTCTCTTCGTCAATTGATGACTTTTTCACCATTTTGATAATTTGCTGGCTAGTCTCCGCCGGCGGTGTTGTAACTTCATCAATTGTTGACTTTCTTATCATTTCCAAATTTTCCGTAGTTACAGCTGCCTCGTCTTTGTCTTCATCTGGATCTGGATAAGACTCCGTCTTAGTGACCATTTCGATGACATTGTTACCTAAATATAATAGTGTCATGTTTTCTACAACTATCTGTACAGAAAATATCGATTTTCATTTAATTTTTTTAAGTTGAAATACGATCTATTACATAGTTACCTGAATCAAGACTTACCTGTACTTGTACGAGTAGCACGTTCAATCTGTGAAGGATTTCTGAGATGTTTCCGTGGCTTGGCTTTTAACAGATCCAAAATTTTTTGGCTTCGGCCAGACGCCATTTCAAAAATTATGCACAAACGACACACTTTTTTTCTTAAGTTGAATGATTGAGCTCGTTGTAACAACAAACGACCATAACAAAAACAGACCGGCACAAATAAAATCAGTATTAAGTCACACAACCTAACCTAGCATTTGGACATAATACCAGCGTACCGGACTTAATACTTTAAACAGTTTTATTTTTACAGAGCCAATCAGTATTAACATTACTTAGAACTGTTTGGTTCTGGTAAGAAAAGGACAAGATACTATTTTTATTCGGTTATAATAGAAAAGGATAGATATGTGACTTAATACTTATTTCAACTAGAAAAAGCGGAAAATTTTAAATAAGAATCACTCATAACCCTAAAATCTTAAAAACGTGGACTTAATACCATTTGGCTCTGAGGTCCAGAAATTCTTTTTATTTGTATTTTTTGGTAATAAAATAATAATTTAATACAAACTGCCTTTATTTTATACAAAACACAATACCTAATTTAAACAAGTTTGAAAAATATAGGGAGGTCCAAAAAAAAACGGAATTTTGTTTTTGAGCTGTAACTTCTTTTTTTGTCGACCAATTTCCTTTTGTTTTGGCTTGTTTGAAAGATAAATGAACAGGCTAACGAATCAAAGTGAAACTTTTGACATTTGAAAAAAAATCAAAATGGCGGACTTCTTCAAAAATTGCCTAGTTTTGGATAGCGCTGGAACTTTTTTGTGATACCCTGTATAACTTTTTCCAATAAATTCCTAAAGTTCATCATTTTGCAAACATTTTAAGACCTCGACGGAAAAAATCGGTTGAAAATTAAGTGAAATATTGAAATTTTTGTAATATCGAATTTCAATTTTTCATATTGGCAGCAAAATCTACGATATGCTATTTTAGCTAGAATTTTTTCTTCTACTTGACATATCCTTTCTATTTGTCCTCCTTAGGCCTCCACAACCCATGCTAAACATCTCTTCGCCAAGAATCGATAGAGGTGGCAATGTTACGTTGTTCCATTTCTCCCCAACACTCAATAATTCGGTTGTGCAGCTCGTCTAAACTATTGAACGTAGCCCTATTTCTGTGGACTCTTTCTTTTAAGTCCCCCCATAAAAAGTAATCACAGGGATTCAAATCTGGGCTATTAGGCGGCCAGTCACCAGGCTCTATAAAATCCGCAACTTGCTCGCTTAGATAGTTGATAGTAAAGCGGCTAGTATGACACCGATTCTCATAAATAGGGAATTACAAAAATGTACAATTTTGTCAAAGTTTTTGTGAGAGCCAGAATCTTAACAATAAATGTTGACTAGGTAAGACAATACTTACATGAATCCAAGCAAACTCCTAGGTCGATAATAATTAGTTCAGCTTTGTGGTTTCGAGAAATTGCTGCAGATTGCATTGAATAACTGCTGAATTTTTCTCCTTCTTCAAGGAGACGTTGCGGTGGTATATCTGCTTTTCGATCTTGGAGGGGAACTCGTAGTTGGTCGTTTTGCGAATTTTTTACTCCGGATAAGGTGAAAAATTTTTCATCAGTGAACCAAATTTTTCGGACTTCAGCAGGAGCTCTAAATCTATGAGGTAGTCGCGTGCATCTAGTTTCCCGCCTCTGTTTCATTGCTTCGTATAGTTCAAATGTGTAGCTCCGTCTTACAAAATGCATTAACAGAAAATTTGGTACGAAAGAAAACGCTGTTCATTTTTCATCAAAGGAGGCCATGTAAAATCTATCACTTAGTGACACCATTTTGCTTCACGTCCAAAGTCTATTTCTGTTAATTTTTAAGTCAAATACAGGTTTTAAAACTAAAATTCTTAAGTAACTTGAGTGAGTGTAATGGCTTTATCTGAAGAAGAAAAAATCGTGATCAAAAATTTAGTAAACCGCGGGTACAGAGTGCATCAGATTTTACATCATTTTGACAACACTTTGAGAAAAAGTACTGTTGACGATTTTGTAAAAAAGTTAAGAGAAACAGGATCAATTCAGAGAAGATAAGGTAGCGGTAGACCGAAAACTGTGAGAACAGAGGTATGTACGAGTTTTTTGTGTTTTTTTTTTGTCGTATATCAATAACAATAATTTGTAATTTTTCAGGAAAATATAGCCCTAATTCGAAACTTAGCAGTTAGCCCTGAGAGGAGACCTGGTACTAGCTTGACAGTTAGGCAAATAACACATGAATGCCAGATTTCTCGCAGTTCTATAAAAAGAAAAATTAGAAGAAATCTAGTGCTGAAGCATGTGAAACGGGGCTACGCATTTAAATTATCCGAAGCAACGAAGCAGAGGCGGGAAACTAGATGTATGCGACTACTTAATAGATTTAGAGCCCGTGCTGAAATCCAAAAAATTTGGTTCACTGATGAGAAAATTTTCACCTTATCCGGAGTAAAAAATTCGCAAAACGACCAACTAAGAATTCCCCTTCAAGCACGAAAAGCAGATACACCACTGCAACGTTTGCTTAAAGAAAGAGAAAAATTCAGCAGGTATTTAATGGTATCTGCAGCAATTTCCCGAAACCACAAAGCAGAACTTATTTTCATCGATCAAAGAGTACGCTTGGATTCTCGTAAATATTGTCAGCTTGTGTTGAGCCATATGCTACCTGAAATTGAACGGCTCACACCAAACTACACTGTTATGCAGGTAATTTTATAACTTATACCTAGTCAAAATTTATTGTTAAAAATCTGGTTCTCACAAACACTTTGATAAAAGTGTACGTTTTTCTCTCTTTTTATGTGATAAACGTGATAAATACTGTTTGTAGAATGGAGCCAGGTGTCATACTAGCCAATTCACTATCAATTATCTGAGAGAGCAAGTTGCGGATTTTATAGAGCCTGGTGACTGGCCGCCTAATAGCCCAGATTTAAATCCCTGTGATTACTTTTTATGGGGGGACTTAGAAGAAAGAGTCCACAGAAATGGGGCTACGTTTAATACTTTAGAAGAGCTGCGCAACCGAATAATTGAGTGTTGGGGAGAGCTGGAACAAGGGAACATTGCCAACTCAATCGATTCTTGGCGTAGACGTTTAACATGGGTTGTTGAGGCACACGGAGGGCATATCCCCCCTTAAATATGTTATCTTAATTTTTTTAAATTTATAAATAGAATATTGGTTGTATTGTTAGAAAACTCATCGTTAACTTTTTCAAAATTGGCTATGGTAAAGGAACTGGGATATTATCTTAAATTTTTTCTCAAAAGTCAAAATCATTATTTCAAATCGTTACCCTATCTATTTATCTTTCGAACAAGTCCGAAATAGGAAGGATATGTCAAGTAGAAAAAAAAATTCTAGCTAAAATAGCATATCGTAGATTTTGCTGCCAATATGAAAAATTGAAATTCGATATTACAAAAATTTCAATATTTCACACAATTTTCAACCGATTTTTTCCGTCGAGGTCTTAAAATGTTCGCAAAATGATGAACTTTAGGAATTTATTGGAAAAAGTTATACAGGGGGTCACAAAAAAGTTCCAGCGCTATCCAAAACTAGGCAATTTTTGAAGAAGTCCGCCATTTTGAATTTTTTTCAAATGTCAAAAGTTTCACTTTGATTCGTTAGCCTGTTCATTTATCTTTCAAACAAGCCAAAACAAAAGGAAATTGGTCGACAAAAAAAAAAAGTTACAGCTCAAAAACAAAATTCCGTTTTTTTTGGACCTCCCTATACATAGGTATAAGTACTTAGGGATCCTATAAATTTTGAAAATATTGTACCATTTCATTTTTGAAGGCTCTTGCTCCTACATCATCTATACCCATGTTTCGTGGATTGGGTATCCTTTGCATTTCTAATAAATAATTTAAATTATCTCCATCCAGCTTTACAGGGGGTACCTCCTTCCTATTTATAATTGCAACATTATGCAGAACAGCTGTGGCTACTATGGTTGATAACGATGTTTGTAGCTTCAATCTTAACCCATAAGCCATTGCAGGAAATCATCATCAAATAATTCCATATTTAAACACAGATTTAAAACTCGGATTTTAAGAAACAAAATAATATAGGTATAAATATCTCGATAAATATAATTTTTATGAAATCACTACGACAAATAATTGAGATTTGCATTTGACAAAAAAAAAAAAACAATTATTTCTACCTAAGAACGTGTTAAGGTCCCAACAGTGGTGCCTTAGAGTTAGGAATTCCTAAATCCATCTTAGGTGAGTTTTCTGACTGGTGCAACTGAATTTTCCTTGCTTAACTTTCAGAATAACTTAAGAATAACTTAAGACATTCTAAAACGAACTGTGCAATCCACCATTGTGATGACTGAACTTTGAGAAGAACTTAACCAGATTTGATTGGCGGTGCATACGAAATTTAAAACTTAAGTTGAAAGGGAAACTAAGAATAGAAAAAAGTGAACGGTGCATACGGGCATCTCAGTATTTAAAAATAGACAGTTGATGATGACACACCGAACGCAAAACGTCGGATTCAAACTTTCAGGTCCCAATCTTGAAGAGCCGATGAACCTAGGGAACGTTCATATTTGAACAATTCTTCTTAACTAAGTGGTTTTGGAAATATACGACCAAATATGCTTGAACACAAAAGGCCTTATATCTTGAAAAGGAATAAAAGAATCGACAAAAACGAAAACGTAGCTTTAGTGAGTTCCAAAAACAGTACCTCCCTTCTTGCTAATGTAACCAACTTCGTATTATTAACCGTTCTTGTTAGTGTCGCATGGTTTTTGGAACACCCTGTATATCTGCGAACAAAAACCCTCACATTAGCGCCGTTGGTAGGGGTCCAAAGTCAAAGTGTATACC